CTCAAAAAGGCTAGAAAATATGGTTAATCAAGGCTTGAAAGGAAGCATTGGCATTTCTCAAGCTAAAAGGCATGACTAAGTACTCAAATTAGTCAGCATGAGTCTTGAATGTAGTCTTAAATTCTTCACCAGCTTCCATTCTAAGTTGGTGGTATCCCGACCGTAAATCCAATTTTGAAAGAAATAGAGGAACCTCCCAATCCATCCATCAAATCATCAATAAATGGAATGTGGAAACTGTCCCTAATGGTAATATGATTCAGCTTGTGGTAATCAACACAAAGTCACCAATTCCCATTTTTTTAGACCAATTGTGGTTGAAGCCAAAGAGTTATTTCTTTGGCATTTAATATCTTGTTTTAGCATGTCTTCAACTAAGTTATCCATGACATCCTTTTGAATTATAGAGTATCTATAAGGGCATAAACTGAAACAACTAACACCTTCCTTGAGAGGGATATAATTTTCAAAGTCTGGCCTATGAGGGGGTAAACTCATTGGATTCACAAAGATATATGAATAAACATCCAATAGAGCTATAATTTCAAATGGTACCTGATGTGATTTTTCTTGAAACAATTGACAAGTATGAACTTCCACAGAATTGTGGTGTTGAGAAATAAAGAAAAAATATAACTCTGCTCCTTGGTTTACTTCATGAGCCAATGACTTGTAATTAGTCACCTTTAGGGTTGTTAGTTTGGCTCCACGCAACACAAGTCGTTTGCCTCACCATGAAAATTCCATTTGAAGCATACCAAAGTCCCAGAGGATTGGACCAAAAGATTTCATCCATTGAACACCCAAAATAAGATCACAACACCCTAGCAGAAGCACAATAACATTGATGGTAAATTTTGTTTACTGCAAGGACCAAGAGAATTCACGACATATAAAAGGAGACTCAAATGAGGTACCACCACCCGCAGTCACAACCATGGGGGAAATTGGTTTCAATTTGCAACCTAACTTATGAGCAACTTCAAGGTCTAAGAAGTTATGAGTGTTTCCACTATCCAAAAGAATATGAAATTGCTTATTATTGTGTGTATATGTGACCCACATATTGTGAAATTTTGACACTCCGTTGAGGGCATTGATGGAAAGTAGATGAGGGTTCACGCTTTGAGTATCTACCTGGGTGTGTTGAGATAGTCTAATATCAACCAGAACGGGCTCAATCATTTTGGTATCCACATCATCATCATCATCATCTAGTTCTATGACCAATAATTGAGAATGTTTGTGTTTCAATTGACGACCTAAGGTGATCTAGCGCGACGGTTGGCAGTATCCGCTGTAGAGTAAGAATGGGGGATGCGATTAAACAAGGGTTTAAGGATAGATGGATATGCAACAAACGGTTGGCTATGTTTCAAGTTAACACTTTGAGGGTCGAATGGAAGGGTTTGGATAGGTGGGGATTTTTGGCTTCAAATAGTTTAGCGACTTTGGTGGCATGGGAAGCAGAGGTGGAATTAAATATATCGGCTTACATTTTGGTAGCTTGTTCTAACCCATAAATAAATATACTTAGAGCATATTCTGGTGGAAGAGAAGTATGGGTAAGGGCAAGTTCTAAGAAAACAACATACTCTTGTACTTTTCCAGAATGGCGAACCTGTATGAGGGTTGATAGTTGATCGTCGTATGGACCGCTGGAATAAAGGCTGAGGTCAATGATGTATTGGGGACAAGTGGGGGAAATTGTAAAAACAAGAACACTTACAATTGAGATTTCATTTAAGGGTGCTACCAATTACCATCAAGGTGAATGGAAGCAAGTCTGACCATAGATTCTAGAGAAGTATTGTCAAGAGAGAATAACTCACTATTACAAAAAAAAACCTTTTATCTCTCGGTAAAAAAAAAGGGTTTACCTTGGTTTCAAAAGCGAAGTAACGAATGGCGTCATGAAAACTTGTCACTTTACCCCTCTGGTAAAGTTCCACCAGGAGAAAAGTGGAATTGGTCATTGGTTCAATCTCCAACAACAATATTTTTTTCGATTTTCAAAACGTGCCACCTTACCCCTCAGCTGGAATTAATACTCGAGGTGTAAGACCCTATTTACAAAATTTTAGTTTTAACCTATTTTTTTCATTTTAATCTGCAAAGCATTAAATTTATTGACAAGTTATAAATCTTCTTTGTCATCATCAACAACAACAAAATCAATAAAATCGTTAAACATTAAATTTCAACAACAAAAACAATAACAAACTCAATAAAATCTTTAAACATTAAATTTCAACAACAACAACAACAACAACTAAACAAAATCAATACAATCGTTAAACATTAAAGCTCAACAACAACAACAACAAAATCAATATTAAACATTTTACTTGATACCACAACAATTAACATTAATAAGTCATTTTCTTACTTTCCTAGCTAATATTAAACATTTTTAATAAGGAGTTAATATAGAAGCTATTACATTAAGAAATCAACCTTGAAATATTTTCCTGCTCTTGCAATCCATCCTAGAGAATAGTGTTGTACTTCATGCAATTGTTTTCGTTATCATTATTTTCATTTTAAGCTTACATTTCAGCACTTTGCATTCAAGATGGATGATTGTAGCATTCGCGTTCTAATTGACTAGTGAGAGTTTCACGCTGCTCACTAATATTTCATGTGAATTGATAAGTTGGCAATGTCTTGACTGTTTTTATTTTATAAATGGACGGCAAAGAATTGTTACTTAAGTTTTTCATTAAATTTGTCATAAATAAAAAATAAAATAAAATAAATTATTTTACCCATCGATTTTCAGCTCAACTGAGATAATAGGTCATAAAAAAAATATTTAAAAATTAAAAGATGCTAAAATGTAGTTGTTGAAATTCTAAGGTGTGTCCTTTAAATACTTTATTCATCGGTTGTCAGCTCAACCGAGGTAATATGTAATAAAAAATTAAAAGGTACTAAAATGCAGTTGTTGAGATTTAAAGGTGTGTCTCTTGAATACTTTCTCCAACGGTTGTCAGAACAACTGAGGGAATATGTAGTATTTTATATTAAAAAAATTAAAAAACGTGCATATGATTTACACCTTAATTTTTTATTAGTTGAGGTAAATGTTGTCATATTATGTATTATTTGTAGCGCTCATATTTATACGACCATTATTTCACCTTCTTTGCCATCAAATCGAAAAAAAATCAATCTTCGCGATACGGGTGGAGTAAGGGTTTGTCATAGTGTGAGGAGGATGTTTCTCCTCTCGATGGCGATCGTTGCTGTGAGGTGAGAAATTGGTCGACAACCGAGCTAATTGTTGCATCATCGCACATATTTCATCCAAGATGGTTGTGATGTTGTCGAATCTCAATTGATTCTTTCATTCAGTAAATATCAATCTTATTCAAACTCAGTTAAGAATTGGTGGTTCCTAGTCATGACCGCTGATTTGAAGGCTCGATGACACCATTATAACCGGATTTAGATATTCTAGAAGATCATCTGAGAATTACCCTAAGATTCAAGTAGAAATTATAATGGAATGAGAATAGAATTCGGTCCAGAAATACAAGATGTTGATTAAATGTATTCTACCATTTTATTAGATAGAATAGCATTCAAGTACAATTACATTTGCATGGCCTGACTTTTATCATCTTAGAGACACCTCAACTACATGCAATTGGCACAAAGTTTATAGAAGGAATAAAATATGAGCCAATCCTAAAATTGCAAATAAGCAAATAACATAAAAGCTCAAGTTTATTAATTTGCATCGTCATTCTTTTGACAAATAACCCTTGCTATGCAGGTAACATGAAACACGGAGTTGTTCATTAAATTTAAAAAATGCCAATCAATTTAATGATTTTTTAAAAGTTTAGCACCACAAATTTTAAATTTGTATATTTATCTTGACTTAGAATGAGATTATTCAAGACAATATCTAAGCATGTATTTGGTTTTACTTTTGAATGTATAAAATCATGGTGGCAATGCTTTTTTACCATGGAAATAAGACGCTGTAATTTGTAGCTTCAACTAAACGTACGTTTTTTTCATCTCCCACCGTGATTCTAAACAAGTACTGAGTATTTTAATGATTTTGATAAATATTTGCAGATACTAAATTAATCATCCAACCCTTACAGGAATTAATTAAAAAAACTCATTGTGATATTTTTCAAGAAAATTTTGAAAATTTCTTTTTTCACTCTATAGTTTTCTAGTGCACCATGCAAAGTTACAAAAATATCTCTGAAAATTGAAAATACATTTTCAAAATGCACCAAAATTTAATAAAATATAAACTAAAATTGGTATTTAATTTTCAATTTAAACTCAGACTTACATTTCGGATTTTGTGCTACACAAAAAAGTAGAAAAAACTACATTTAGTCTATGTGTGGTGCATAGTGCACACCAAAAATATATTTTTGGTTTTAAAGGACATTTTAGGAATTACATAAAGTTTTTCTTTTCACTATAGAGTAGAAAGAGAAATTCTCAAAAAATTTATGTTAATGAAAAAAAAATGCAAACTAGCTTTAGGACGTATCATCAAGGAGAAAATAAAGGGGGTTCTCAAAATAGCTCTTCTTTTCTTTACTAAACAAAATTATACTCTTCCATGACCTGTTAGTACAAGATTTTCCAAATTACCAATGTAAACGGCCTTTATTGTGATACAATAATTTGTAAACTACAGGTTTAGTCTTAGGCATGCTAAACAATGTACCAAATAAGATGCTATCATAATTGCTACAATGATTTTGTTTGACATAGTTTCATAAAACTCAATTCCTAATCAAAGCATCAATAATGGGCATTCATAAAAGAAAGGTAGACTTAAAAAGGAATACAACGAGTCATCAAAGGGAGCTAAAGGAACCTTCTCTGGTTAGAAACAATATGAATTTGCAAATTACAACTGTACCCATATGAAATTTGTATCGCCTCCGTCTGCCAAAAACTGCAGCTATAACTGAGATTTTGTCACTATTTCATATCTGTAGCCATATCCAATTTCCTCATTTTCCAAGATTACCTTTCTGGTGTGGAGATGCAACAGATGTGGGTGAAAAGGGATCATAAATTTGGTCTGCATGATACGCTGGCTTACTGGATGCCAAGGATGGGTTGCTGCCAAACTTCTGATTCATAGGCCATGTTCCCTGAGCAGGATAGCATTGTTGATTGTGCATACCTCTTTGGACCCCAGGACTGGGCAAGTTTGGCATTTGAGGGGTAGGAATGAAGTTCCTCATACCCATTTGTGGACTTGAGATCTTGGTGAAGGTTGACCAGCAAAGGGAAATGCAGGGTGTTGTTGGGGTGGAATTGAGACAGAGCCCGGTCTTCCACCAAAAGGAGCAGCAGATGCATAAGCTTGAGCTTGATCCATTCGGTTGGAGACTTGTGCCCTTGGAAAGCTTTGAAAAGGCTGATCAGCAACAGAAAACCCAAATGGTGGAGGCCGGGGACCGGAAGGTGGCTCTTGTGTACCACCCTGAGTGGTAGCTTGACTGCTTGGCCTGGGAACCACTTGATAGTAGTCTGCATTAGGTCGCTGTTCTTGAAAAGTAAAAATTCCAGAATTTGAAGGCATGGAGGCCAGTGGGTTTATGTGGGTGTAGTGAGAGGCAGAATTAGGTATTCCTGATTGTTGAGCTAATGGAAATGAAGAGGATATTCCTGGCGATGGAAATGAAACAGGTCTTGATAAATGGTTTCCAGTTGAATTAACAGTTCCTGGAATTGGTCCAAAGATGATGGTGGTCTCGGTGACATTCCTGCATGGTGTGGATGAATACTTCCAGGTTGTGGCATCATCGACACATTTGGCTGGGGTGGCTTATATTCAATATCTGGTTGTGGACCTAGAGAAACAGGTCTTGCAGGGGGAACAGCAGGTGGAGCCATTGGCCCCATATTGACGGGTCCTCCACTCAGTCCAGAAGATACACCTTGAGAGGTTGATGGCTGGTTAGCTATTGGTGACGGTGATATACCAGACATAGGTTGAGGCATTGAAGACACTGATGTCTGGAGGTGTCCTGTTGATGTTGGTTGCCTTAAGGAAACTGGAAAAGAAAGTGAAGCACTTGTTGCTGCTGACAAATTCTGTGCAGGTATTACAGAAGGATTTCTTGGTGGCCCAACGTGACCAAAAGGAGTTGTTTGAGTCCATTGTGAATGTTGTAGGAATTGTGTTGGTGGTGGTGCATGCATAGAAAACTGCTGATTTGGAATAATCTGGTGGAATCCAGTAATAGATGTAGGTTGAGCACCAAAAGCTGAAATCATATTTGAAGGGCTCATTGTCTGTGATGGAAAATGAGGAGTTCTAGCAACGTGTGGTGGATTTGGAGGGACTACACTGCCAGAAGAAGCAAATGAAGGGGTGTGAGATGGAGCAGCTGAAAACCATGAACCAGAGTATTGAAAGTGATCTCCTTGCATTTGTGTAGTGGCTGCTGGTTGAAACACAGCCCGGTTTGACAGAGATAGAGAAATTGCATGAGATGGGGGGTCTTGGTTTTGATTCAGACCATTAGTGCTGTCCCCAAAGACAGATACAGAAGGTGTGGAACCAGCAGCTGAACTCCCCTGAATTGATGACAGCATAGAAGACAATAATTAGAGAGAAAATATTATTAAGTATAGTTTTTTTCTATAAATAAAGTGTTAATACATAACTGAACCAAGCATAAATCATAAAATGTTGTTACATTGCATGACATGACAACTCACAGTTACAGAGGAAATTAGTAGTTCAACGATGGAAATTGCTGCATCCACTTTATCAAAACTATCAGCTGTTATGTTAACATGCATCTCTTTGTAACTGCACTGGACATCAGTACCTGGTTTAATTTCACCCTGAAAATAGAACATACAAAGCAAAAGCAAAAGCAAACGCAAACAATTACAGTTATTTCCTGACAAAATCAAGTCAAAGTATTGCAAAGTGGGTGATGCAGAATGAAAGCCACATAATATCATTAAGGAACTTACTTCTCTCCTGTGTCTGCTTTGGTTCCACGAATTTTTATCTTGGCACCAGTTTCCTGATAAACGGTTATATTAAATATCAATTGATTAAAAAATTAGAATCTCACTCAGTGATCTCTCAATCAAAAGATAGAGATTGCTGACTGCAGATCATCGAATAAAGATTAGATACCAACAAAATGGTTTTACCTTCTCTAGTCGCTTTTGATTATCACCTCCAGGCCCATATATTAGACCAATGAATTTGTACCCAGGATATTCTTGGACCTGTAAATATGGTACTGCATATAAGAGTTTTCATTGGGACTTCAGGTTTAGATAAAGATATATGATTTTTCGAAAACAGATCATTCGTAAAAACTATACAACAAAGGGAAGCCAAAGTTTAGCTTTTAGATATTAAAAGCAAAAGAGGTCAAGTCATTTTGCACTCTAACTCTGCAAAGCAATCAGTATACTACTTGAATATTGTAATTGTAATCTAGACTGGGTTTTATTGTGACTCGATTGAGAAGCTCAATCGATTGATACATCTTACAGTACAACTTAGTGTTCAAGTTTCTTTCAAGAATATGAGGACCTCCAACAACATGCTCCTTCACGAAAGCAGCAAAGAAAAATGGATGAGAAGAACACTTCTGGAAAAGAAGAAGTTCTGGAAATGGGCTACATGCTTTTTGGGAAGTTAATTAACACTCATTAACATGTTAAGGTCAAATAGGGTATTCAATTTGAACCCATGAAGAAATAATAGAAGGCTTCACCACCTAAAATTGTATTGATGCTAATCTCCTAAAAACTGCCTAATCATCTCACAAGAAATACTATAAGGCTCACAAAACCTCAGCCATACTCTAAATAATGATAGATGGATTTAACAAGACATAAAAACGCTAAATTAATTACTACTCCCCAATAACTGGGAAGAAATTGTACAAAACATACTAGATGAACAAAAACTGAAGTTGAACTCTAAACTAAGGAAATGTATCCTTTACTTTTCAAAACTAAAGAAGTAACAAGTTAACAAAAAATTTAAATAGCTCAGAAGGCCTGTCAGAGTTTTAGAACCAATACTTACAGGCAAAGGAATACTGTGCTCTTTTAACAGTGGTTTAAAACCAGGCGGAGGCTTGTAACTGGGATCTAATTTTAGTATTTCACCTGGATATGATTAATATCAAGATTATTATGGAATCGGCAGCCTAAAAGAATTAAAGTAGAGGATTAAAATGGAAACATATACTTACGAAAACGTACCTATTGTTTCCCGCTTTTCGAGTTCAAGCATTTCTGACTTCTTATGACCATAAAAAAAAACATCAGTTGTTTATTCATAAACAGTTACTACTACATCTATAAATGACAATAAAAGGAAAAGTGTCCATTGTTGTTAACCTTGCTATTAACTTGAGAACCAGACTTGTTTTCATCTGGGTTCTCATCCACCAATGCTGAGTTCTGAGTGGCTCCAATCTCTAGATTATCTGATTCCAACTGCTTTGAAATTTGATCCACTCGAATCTACAAAGGGTGTGCAACAGTAAAATCATGTTAGGAACCCAATATTCAAGACAAATTTGTTGGGCTTAGGCCCAAACCAAGTACCTAAGACATCACTTATTGTCAACTTGGAAACTAGAACTCGTAAAAATTCGAACACATATGCATTTGCAATAGCACCCAACTTATAACAATGTTAACAGCTTCTAGCTAAGAATGATGTTACAATCCAAAGTCTTGCAAAAATACTACTTTACTAATTCCAATCCCATGATTTTGATGCAAGTAAAATACTTACAATGTCTCGAATATTAAATATTAGGGGCTTAAGCAAAGTAGGAAAGCACCAGCAGGTAGGGGTATGATGAGCAAAGATTAACCTTGCATCCAAAGGCAATGAGCAAATCTCACAAGAAAAGGGATAAAGGGTAGTAACAATATGAACATGTCAATCAAAACTTACGGAGAAATAAAAATGTTAACCTTATCACTGAATATTTTGAAGGAAATGGTAATGGAATAAGAAAAGAATAAAAATGATAATGGAGAATTATTGTAAAGGATTCCAGGAATCACCTGCAACGCCAAAACCTTTGCCCTCCTGACAGATGCATCCTGCGTGGGATCAGGCCCCCATCTTGATTTCCTCTCAATTTGTTTTGAAGATTCTTCATTGATGAGTCCAGTGAGGCCATCTTTTTTAGCCCCTCGTGAAATGGGAAGTAAGGATCCTAATAACTTGTTTTTGGGGATGACAAATCCAGATTTGGCAGCAAACATAGAGAGCTTTTGGGCACCACTAGTAGGTGTTGTAGATGTAGGTCCGGACATGTTGTGAGGTTCAGAAGCCAGCATTGAATCAAGCAACTTATGCACATGTGATAAAAGAGTCAATCTCCAAATAACATAAACGAAAGTATAGACATAGATAGCCCTTTTAAAACCCTTGAAAATTGTAACTTTCCATTCGTATTTAACAATCAATAATTAGATGAAATGAAGATTAAAAATGGATATGGTGAAGTTGGGATCAGCATCAGAAGTAATAACGAGAAATGAAGATTTGAAGCAGCGTGGCATAAATTGGTAATGAAATGAGCAAAGATTGAGCGTGAGCGTGAGCATGACCTAGATAACAGAAATAGAAAGGCGAGACGGAGAGAGAGCGTACCTATGATATGAAGCGGAGATCTGAATAGTGACATAGCCACCGTAGTGGAGTTGGAGTGTTAAACGAAAACCCTCTCCCTCCACTTTTTTTCTTCCTGCTATTCCTCTCTCCCTCCACTTTACTTACAAAGATGCTAGTTTATTCAATAATTTACTTAATATATAAATTAATTTAGTGCGATTCAACTATTTTTTTATTTACATTGTACACAATTTTGATAAAAAATTTACAAGATTTAAAATATTTTTAGTGTCATTCAATTTGGTAGTTTCAAAAGTTTGAAATAGCCTCTCAGCTGCATCCACAAGCTCATCAATAGAGTTATGGATTCTTTATGTTGTGAAGTTAGAATTGAACTGAAAAATCTAAGATCTAAAATATTTAAATTGAGAGAATTTGATGGTTATCGCATCAAACGAATATCAAATCTATCTTG